TACAGCCATGTTTATATATACTGCCAAACAAGTGTCTGTTGTATTCTGCTGCCCTTCCTATCCCCTTCTTATCCTGCCTCCCTTCCCCTCCCATATACATTTTAGAATGGCTTTGCCAAGTTCTACGAACATTCCTTTGGGACTTTGGCACCCGACTGAGTCTTTATAGGTCAATTTGAGAGAAATTGATCAGTTTATGATATTCATTTTCCAAACAATTAATCATGATATATTTCTATATTTTATTAGGTTTTCTTTGATATTTTTTATACTATTATTGTCTCCATAAAGATTTATATCCTTTATGAGCTTTTCCCCCAGAAGCCTCATCTTTTAAGGCTATTATAAAGAACAACTTAAATTGTTTAATTTTTCATTTGTTGCTCTTATGTGGAAATAATACTGATTTTTGTATCCACAACTACTAAACTTCCTGATTGATTCTAGTAATTAATTCTATATATTTGTGTCAATAATGCCAGTTCTTATTATTTATTATCAATCTTCCTACATTTTATCTCATTTTTTTTTCTGGCTTTACTGCATTGGCTAGCATTTCAGTACATTGTGGATTAAAAGTGTGATACTGGCCTTTTTTAACTCCTTTATTTCAAGTGGAACACCTTCAAAATTTCACCATTAGCTATACTGTTTCTTAAAAATTTTTGTTGATAAATCTAGAGGTTAAAGTTTACGTTTGCAAAAATCTTTCATCATGTCTGGTGATTGAATAATTTTATTAGACACTTTTCCTGTATTTATTAAGTGGATAATGTATTGTTCTTCTCTTATAATCCTTTAATATAATGATTACATGGTTTTCTAATTTTAAGCCCACATTCTACTTTTGGAATGAGTCCAGTTGTCATATATGTTAGCTTTGTTATATTTTGCTAGATTTGGTTACTAATATTTTATTTGGAATTTTTGTATCAATTTTCATGACAATACAGACTTGCAATTTTATTTTTTTGTGATGTCTTTGTAGAGTTTGGGTGCTATGGTTTTTCTAGTCTCAGAAATAATCTTAAAAGTCACCTTTTTTCTATTTTTCTGAAGAGTATATAAAATTGGAACTGCTTTGATCTAGAATGTTAGTAGAATTCACTAATGAATGCACATTCTTTTGTAGTTATTATACTATCATATTTTTTTCTTAAGTTAATATATTAAGTTGTCCCACTTATCTATAGTTTTAATTTTTCTTCACATAAGCTTAATTATAATATCATTTTACTATCTCTTTATTGACTCCAAGATCTATAGTGATGTCCTTCAAAAAATGCAGCTTATTTGTTCCTTCTCTCTCTCTCTCTATTTCCTTTTTGCAGTTTTACCAGAGGTTTATTGATTTAATTATTTATCCAAGAACGGAATTATATCTTTGCAGGGCCTTTCCATTATGTTTTTCATTCATTAATTTTACTCCTGCTCTTTTTATTTTCTTCCTCTGCTTCCCTTACTGTGAAATTTTCTAACTTCATGGGATATGTTTTATTAATTGATTTGAATCTTTCTTCTTGCCCCTTACATATTGTATCACACACACACACACACACACACACACACACACACACACACATATATATATATATATATATATATATATATTGCCATTATCTTTCAGTACAGTTGTTTTCTGATTTTCATGTTTTCTTCTTTGACAATGCTATTTAGAAACATATTTCCTAATTTCCAAACCCCTGGGATTTTTCTAGTTTTCTCTCTATTCCTCACTTTTAACATAATTGCATTGTGATCAGAAAAACTAGACTGTATGAATTCAATCTTGTTTGATGGCCTAGTGTATGGTCAACTTTTGTAACTGCTTTACATGTGCTTGAAAAAAAGAATGTCTACTCTGGGGTGGCAGGGTGGTGCTCTACCTGTGTTCGTAATGTTAGAACTGTGCACACCCTTCTTACTTTTGGTCTGCTTTAATTAATGGAATTAAGTGTGATAAAATTCCCCATAGTCTGACAACTTTTTAAATAATAGTTTTGGATACCATGTTTTTTAAATGCCCAGAAACTTAGAATTACTATTTCATCTTAATAAACTAAACCATTTATCATAATGAATGATCCTTATTTTTCTCTACTGCTTTTTGCCTTTAAATTTATTCATTCTTTGTCATTATCACCTCTTAGTTACTGTTTCCATAGACTGTCTTGATCCAGTCTATTATTTTAAGCTTTCTTTATCCTTATACTTTAGGCATGTCTTTTATGAATAATAGATAGTTGTTGTTTGTTTTTAATCTAGTCTGATGATCATTGATTATTAACTGGACCATGGAATCTTTTTGCATTTGTTATAATTACTAATATACTTGGATAAAACCAATCTTCTTATATATTTCCTATTGGTCTCAATTGTTCTGTGTCTTCTTTCTTTCCTTGCCTTTTTTTTTTTTTCTTTTTTTGGATTCATTGATTTCACTTCAGGAGTCTCCAAGCAGACAGAAAACTATGAGACTAGATGATCCAAGACCTCATCCCTTGAACATTCTATAAGAATGAAATTGTACTTTTATTTTTATTTTTAATATTTATATATGACAGCAGAGTACATTACAATTCTTATTACACAAATAGAGCACAATTTTTCATATCTCTGGTTGTACACAAAGTATACTCACACCAATTTGTGTCTTTATACATGTAATTTGGATAATAATGTCCATCACATTCCACCATCATTTCTAACCCCATACTCCCTCCCTTCCCCTCTCACTTTTAAAGTGTTAACTGAACCAGCCCTGTTGTGGATAATGAATTCTTAAAATGTGATTACAGAGAAATGAGGCATAGGATTTTCATGTTTCCAAAACCAAAAAGGATGGCCCCCTAAAGAGTTAGGGCCAACTCTTTGCAATCAAATGCAATTGAAAAGTCGTAGGGAACATTGGTAGCTCTCCATATAAGATGAGGTATATTCAAATCATGATGAAAACAAAATAAAACTGTGGCTGCCAGCAGGTCTCTAACTTATTTAAGAGGATTTTAGAAGATCAGATCACTTCGTTTCCTATTAAAATGCTTTAGTTTTCCTATGTCCACAGCAGACTCAGGCATTTGTGATTGACGTTGTGGATGTAAAAGCAGGAGGCAAGGTCATTTCTGTATGTGTGTATACAGAGTTGTCTGAATGAAACTAGGAAGCAAGCTTAAGCTGCATATTGGTCTGGTTTAAGGGGGACACTTTTTTCTCATGATTAATTACAAATGAAATTCATTAAAATTTATTATAATTTTCTTTGGGAAAACGAATGGGAGATATGGCTTGATGAAATCCAAGTTCAATTAAATTATGCTTCACATATGCCCTGAAAGAAGAGAAGCTTTTACCATTCATATTTAATTTAGTTCAGTAAAGTGGAGAGACTTATTTTCTATAGTGTGGCTGAGTATATTAAGCACATCTACTCTTGTTATCCTAAATTTCCACCTGTCCCTGAAGCTATGAGATAATGTAACCCTCTTTGACATCTTAGCGTGGGAAGTAAGCACCTTTATTTATATACCATCCACTAGCTTCTTTGGTCCCACTTGGCCATCAAAGGCTATAAAAAGTGACACCATCACCCTAAACTTCTAATTTTCTCTAAGAGCTCAAACTATTTCCTGGGAAATGATGTTTCTCTGAGTTCCTAGTGATAGATAGGGAAATTACACCTCTAAAGGGCAAATGACTAAGCTTTAGTTACTGAGTCACTGGTTTCTTTGGGAGAGAATCCCAGAAGCTCCCTCTCCAGATGGACTTTAAGCCATTGCAATATTAGAGCCTGGATCTTTAAGGGCCCCCAAGATCCTCTGCTCCAGCCTTATTTTGGTCCCATCTTACAGATAAGACAATTGATGCCCAGGGGCATGAAATAATTCTCCCAAGGTCATGAGACTAATGAGTACTATTGTTGCCATAATATTTAAATCAGGTTTTCCCAAGCTAAGCAAATGCATGGAAATGAGGATTCCAGAAGCTCATTAATATAAGGCAATTTTCATTTTAATGGCATCTCATCCTGCAGCAATCTGTCCCATTATCTTACTGATCTCCAGTCTTCTCAGGGCATGAGAAACAGAGCATCACAACAGCTATAAATCGCATTCAGAGTTCATAAGATCACAAAGCCCCTCACTGCACCCTCTCTTCAATTTATGAATCTTCTGATGGATGAGGTAGGCATGTGACGTCTTTTGCAGACCAGAACTTGACAGAGATTGAAAGCATCTGTCAAGAGAACCTGGGCCTCCTGTTTTGCTGTCTAGGACACCTGCCAGATTCTGCTCTGTTAATTGGCTTCTGTGCAGGCAGCTATTTTAGCAACAATTCTGTAGGTCTTCTGTGGCACATCTTGATTTAAAAGGAAATGTTGAAAAGCACTTCTCAACCACTCAAAGCATCCAGGGTTGCTCAAGTTTAGCTGATTGGACAGAGAAGAAAGCAGTCTTCAAAACTGGTGTGTAGACATAAAACTAGATTATTCAGCTTCCTCATGTTCAGAGAATAATTTTCAGAGAGATGGTGTGTCTGATTTCTGTCTAAAAAGATACTTTCCCTAAGGTCAGATGGAATTGAAATGACGATTTATGGAAAAAATTGCCACCATGACCTTAAACATGCAGCCTTTGAGTTGATACCATAATGAGGAATGGAGTGCTATTAAAATATACTGAACATTTTAATGATTCCACTAGCAGTCAGCCAAAAAAAAAAAAAAAGAAAAAAAAAGATTTCAACTCTGGAAGAGAGGATTTTGCCAAGGAGATTTTAATGTCAAGAATGTATGTGAAGCTAAATATAAGGTTCTCATGCGCATCCCAGAGCCGTGGGTGGGGATGTATACATAATCAAATTTAATTATTCCATTTCCACTTATAGAAAAATCTAAAGGAAAAAAATTAACTTTAAAACATTTAGTCATATTTCACTTGGATTATGCTTATAAATACCAAACTCCAGACCTGTCAAAATAAACCCCACCAGTGCTTCTTGGCAGAGGTGTTAGATAGACAAAGACTACAGCATGCAAAACTGGTAAAGAGCTTACAGAATCGTCATGCTTGGAAAAACCACAGGAACTCAGCTCCTATCTGAAGAGAGGCTCGGAGGGCTACAAGGGGTAGAAATGACCCTGAGTGTGAGCAATGGAATTCAGAGTGACCCAAACACTGGATACAGAGGGAAGAGCCTTCAGAGATACTCAAAGATCCCTGAGTTCCAGGTCTCAGCAATCTGGGGCTGGAGGTGAAGGACCCATGGTTTCCTATCACAATATTTTTCCCATCAGAGAAAATACCCTTACACTTGACCTTGTTATGGAGGGCCAGTAGTTGTGTTCTTTCCATGAATTGCTTGTTGATACAACAGAAGTGTGAGTTTAGCTGCTGCCAATGCATCCACCTGCACACTGAGGACATGCAAAGCACCAGTGTCTGAAAGTAAATTTGTTGGCATTTCAAGGGCAAACTTCTTTTTGGCTACAACCACCAAACCTCCAATCCAAAACTGGGAGATAAAAAGTCTAGTCTTTATTAAGTCTTTTATTTACTTTTAAAATTATAATTAGAAGATTTATGAATAACCTTTTTTCCCCCTTTTGTCCCTTCTGCTTCTGTATCTCCTTGCTTACCCAAACCAGGACCCTGGGTCAGTACCATCTCTGTCCATTGGGTTTGGGTGCGGCCAAAGGGAAGGAGGGCTGGAAATCGCAAGAGAGGAGGAGGAAAGAGTGTCTTTCCTGGTTCCCATGGATAGTTGGTGAGTTGGTTTTGGCTAATACTTGCCATTGCAGATGACACACCCTCATTAGAACATGTATCTTGAACATTCCCAAGTGATGACAGGAGCAGGGTGGAGAAATCGGCTCAGGCTCCTTACACATGCACAGCTGATTGTGGGGACCTAAAGAGCTCATGAGACTCTACCTACAACTGCAATTGTCCAAGGGTCTAGATGAATTCTGGCTTGGACAGAATCTGCATCTCATGTCTTTCCGTTCTTTCTCGGCATGTCATTCTAGAGTCTTGTGATCTTTGCTCTCTAGAAAAAGTCAGAATAAAGTAGTAAGGGAAAATAATTTATCCTGATGTAAAGGAAAGTAGAGATACTAAGAGATAATTGTTAATGAAGGATTATTAAAGATCAGACAATGGATAGACCCTTGACAGGTAATATCTTGACATTCCCTCTCCACCACTTGCAGACCTTTGGTCAGCACCAAACCCCAGTGGACAGAAACACTATTGGCCAAGATTTTACACAGGAGGAAACTAAAGTTTTTAGAAGTTAAAAAACTTGTCCAAGATCACACATAGCTATGGGTAAACAATGGCAGGATTTAAACTTCTGTCAGTGGTATTAAGTCCAAACCTTAAACCATTCCACTATTCTATTTCCTATTAATTTCTCTACCTTCTTCCTAGCCTGTGAAGGAAAACAGGTGAAACCCAACAGAATGACAATAGTTATGGAAGGGATTTAATTTTAGCTCTGCTACTAGTTATTCATATAACCTCAGCAAGGCCATTTCATCTGTGAGTCTTACTTTGTTTAGCTCTAAAATAGTAAAGATGTTCCATTTCCTGTTACCATGATAGAATTATATTGAAGCAATTCATATAGAGAAACTTTAAACAAAATAAAGACCTTCTAAATGTGTCATGATTAAGGCCGTTATTATAGGAAGTGGTATAGAAGAAAGAGCACTGACTGTATAGCTCAATCTAGGTTAAATCTGTCACATTAGTGGAAATTTTCTGATCTCTCATGTCTCATCTATAAAACAGTGAGTCTGTCACCTGCCTTGGGATGAAGAACACCCATGCTGGAGTCAGAATGTGGTGGCCATCAGTGTGTCTGACCCAGGTAAGAGTACCACTTACTTGCAGGGATAGCAGATGGAGCCGCTGAAAATACAGTAGATGAGGGGGTTGATGGCACTATTCAGTGCTGTCAGGTTCTGAATGATCACGGAGGCATAAAAACGCTCCTTGGTGTCTGGAAGGAGGTTGAAATTGTCCAAAATGTCAAAGAGGAAGTATGGGCTCCAACAGCAGATGAAAGCTGGGGAGAAGTGAACCATTAGGCACCACAGAGGCTACAGGTGAGGGGTCTCTTTTTAGTTGGCCCTTATGGGAGTTTCAACTGGGAGGATTTGGGGCATCTGGAATCTTTCAGAGATGTTTTAGGGCTGTGTATGCAGTTTAGAAAAGTTGTTTGCGTTGATGTTGATGACATGAAAATACCATCCAACTAATAATACCCCTGTCCAAATCAATTGGTGTGTGGAAGACCCTGATTCTGCTTGGCTCCAAATCCTCAAAGAAAATGAGTGAGATGTGGGAATCCAGAGTGTGAGGGTTAATTTTATGTGTCAACTTGACTGGGCCCCTGGCTGCCTAGATATTTGGCTAAACATTATTCTGGATGCATCTCTGAGGCTGTTTTCAGATGAGATTAACACTTGAATCAGTGGACTAAGAAAAGCAGAGTGCCCTCTTTAGGTTGGGTAGGCTTCATTCAATCTCTTGAAGGCTTGAATAGAACAATACAGCTGAGTGACAAACGATTCACTCTCTTTGCTTGACTGTCTTTGAGCTAGGACATTGGTCTTCTACTTCATGCTTGGAGTCACACTGGAACTTAAATCATCTATTCTTTTGTTGTCAGACTTTTGAACTCAGACTTGGATTAGAATTTAGACCACTGTCTCCTGAAACTCTAGCTTATCAACTGCTGATCTTAAGACTTCTTAGCCTTCATAATCATATATATATATATATATATAAAATAAAGCAAAATCAATCAATCAATCAATCTATCTATCTATCTATCTCTTCATATTTCCCTAGAGAGCATAGACTAATACAGAGCTACATATTCTGGGGTTTACTGAACACACACGTGTGTTGCCCTACTGTCTGGGTACAGCTTTGCCACTCTTCTCTCCCAAACAACTTTCCCACCCACAAGATTTTTCTAAGAGTAGGAGCAAATGGACTTCTTCCCATTTCAGCTGGGAAGTTTTTCTTCCATAATTGTTCAAGAGGGATTCTGTAACTTGCTTGGGAGTTTTGAAATAAGGAATTAATTCATGATGATGGCAATGTATTAAATGGGACCCATTCAAACAAAAACAGCAATGAGAATTCTGGACCCTGGGTAGTTAACCCCAGCATTGGCTCAGAAAAGTGGTTCTGGGATATCAAAGGTAAAACTGCATTGTGTGTGTGTGTTTGTGTGTGTGTTGAGAGAGAGAGAGAGAGAGAGAGAGAGAGAGAGAGAGAGAGAGAGATTGTCACAGGGATGCCCATCCTACTGTATACTATAGGCAGCAGCCCAACCAGGAAAAACTTGTTTCATACTCTAAACATTTTTCATATGTCCCACTGGACATTGGTTGGTTTATAATTACCCCCAGGCTAGAAACCCAAATCCCATATATGTACATGGATATTTTTAATAAAAAGTGAATTTTTCAGAAATGTAATTTCCTTGTAAGTGAGAAATGATTAATTCGGAACTTTACCATGGTTTATTTGTCTGCTTAGAAAATCAAGTCACTGACAGCAATACTATATCTTTATGCCTCCATGAAAACACACCTGTATTGGTTTTTATTTGTAGCTATTATGATGTTCAGGTGTAAGCATCTGATTACTTCATTATTCTTCTCATGTAGGTGTGGCCACATAGTGACATGTCAAAATTGGTGTTATTTTATTATAAATTACTTTCTTTCTATTCTTACTTTAGATAATTGTTGGAGTAGTACACTGATTTTTTTTTTAACCATACAAGGCAGAATGTATTATACATGGCATTTTAGGTGATAAAGAGGCATTACAAAGTGTTTGTTACAGAAAGGGCCATTTTGGTCTGCCAACACTCACTGACCCTCTCATGGGCATACCTGCTTGCAGACTGAAAGGATCTTGTAGGGGCTAGAAATATGGTCCCTGATAAAAGGCTTATGGGGTTCTGGAATACATGTATAAACATGCATTTTCCAGCTCAACATCCAGAGAATGTGCATCTGATTCTGATTGGGAAGGCAAAGAGAGCCTTTGATGTACTTCAGAAAGCCTCTGAGAAAGGCTTCTCAGGGCCTGGTGAGTGGTATGCACTTTCTCCCCAGTTCCGCCTGTGGTGTTGTTTTGTGCCCATATTTTGCTGGCTGAGTCACACTGTTTGTGGTCTGTTTGGCATTTTGCAGTTGCATTTTAGAAAGGAGAGATGGGCTGCTCTGGTGATTTGACATGCAGCTAATGCTCTCCTGGAGCTTCTAAGAGCTGCCAGAGGAGCCTGGAGGAGGGTGTTTCAGCTAAATAAAAAGGGGATAGCACAAATCCCTTTTCTTCTTGTGTATCTCGATTCATTTGCTCATTTAACACATATTAATTGAGCAGTGTATGGGGAACCCTATTTTAGTCTTTGCTGATAACAATAATGTAAATAACAAAAGCAGGTCATTGTCCTCATGGATTTATTGCTCCAGCAAGGGAGATAGACAGTAAGTAGTGTAAGTAGTATAAGTAGTAAGTAGTGTGTGTGTGTGTGTGTGTGTGTGTGTACACAGAAGTAGGGACCATGAAGAAGTATAGGAACCATGAAGATAAACACGTTAGGGTAAGGCTAGAGGAGGGTTATTTTAAAAGACTTGCCAATAAGGCTGAAGGAAATGTCATCGTTAGGGAACAAACCAAAGTGGGGGAGGAAGCCATGAATTCATCCGAGAGGAGAAAATTTCAGACAGGAAGGTGCAAGGTGACTTTATGGAATGTTAAAAATAGAGAGAAAGGGAAGGAAAGGGGCAGAAGACAACACGGAGGAAGGACAGAAAAGATGGCCATAAGGAAAGTATTAGCAGTGACATGGAAGTTAAATATCCAGAAGAAATGGAATGTACTTCTATCTCACCTTTGCTGTTTTCAGCCCTGGAGGACAGTGTGTATTAAAGGAAGCACCTGAGTTAACAGGGTGATCTTGGCATAAACAGCTAATTAGGTCCTAATCTAATTTACTCCCAAGTTACGCAACACAGAGCTTTAATGGTTGACTTTATTCATAAGGAGAAAGATTAGGAACCAAATGTTGGCCCTTGAAAGAAGCCCAGATGGACTGATGAGTCTCACACATTACTTTCCAAGCAGATAAAGATAGAAGTGCTATACACAAATTCCTTCCTTTTATGGGCTTCCTGCTACTAGTTTGGTTTTGAAACATTTATACGGTTTTGCAATCCAAGGAGGGACATTGCTTACCAAGGATGATGACAATGCTGTACTTGATGGCCTTAATTTTTGCCTTTGAGATGAGCCCTCGATTGTAGCTGGTGCACAGTTTCCCATCTGTAGATACAACAGGTGAATGGTCAACTGGAGTGCTCAAGATGCGGCAATTTCTGTTTCTACAAGTAGGAACTTTGAAGGTTAGACCTGTGGCTTTCAATGGATGGGACCACTTATGTCCTGCTTGTCTATGACTAGAAGGCTTTCCTCAGACAGTTTTAGAGTGAAAATGGCTCAAGGATGGTTGCTGGAAACTGCTCAGTTTGCAACTTAACACAATATGCGAATGCTGTGGGATGCAGACATGGTCAGATGATCTGAAATCAGCTGCAGCTGGAATTAGACCACGTGACCAGAGGGGCAGAGACCTTCTCTGTTGGGGGCTGTTCTCTGAGCTCCATGCTATGCCAAGACTCTTGTATATTTGCTTCGGCAACCTGAGCAAAAGTCATTTTGCTAGGATGGTCGTCCTAGACCAACTCATTCATCTAACTCAGAAACTTTACTCAACAAAATTCAAGCTCAAAATCTCCCAACAAAAGCTCAAACACAAACAACTGGCATACATCTGAGCTTGGATATAACTTTAATCATATTGGGCTGTCATGTGATAGGGAGGGGTGAAATAAGAATCCACTACAATATAAGCTAGAGGAGCCCAGGAGTTTTATTTTCTCCATTTCTAGTAATAATGATATGAATATGAAATGATTACTTAACATTAATTTAATGAATCAATAATAACCTCCCATAGACAAGACAGGGGCAAAATATCATGGTCAGAATTCAGAGCAATAAGAGGAGAGAGATGGTAAATTTGGGGGTGAAATGTTGGTCCTGGGTCCTTTGCCTCTGTGAAAAAGATTTTCCTGTTAGAAATTTACCAGCTTATATGGTACCTTCTAAGAAATTTGGAAAAGGTCTCCTTCCTTTCGATGGACACAGACCTGCCCCAGAACATACCTCAGGGAGGGAAGCAGGGGAAAAAAGCCAGCCTCCCTCCCTACGTGATTCAACTTGGTGCGATTGAGTTGGACAAAATGGTTCAGCCCTAGCAACAGCCCAGCTCAGAGGCCCAGTCAGCATCTAAGCCAAATGGGGCAAGGCTGTTGTCCACTAGGGAGGCCAACTTCAGTGCTCTGTTGTCCTCACTACATTGTCCAGATTTTATGTTTGAGATGTATTTGAATCCTTGTAGAAACCCTTTAGAAGTTTACTTAGCTTCATTCATTCAATCATTCTGCAACCCAACTTAATCCAACAAGCATAGCATGTGTGCCCAGAGGTATGGATTGAATAGAAATCGAAAAGAATTCGATTTCTCTAGCAACTTTCAATCCAGCAGTAAAGATCACATACTCGCCTCAAGTTGAATGAGAAGAGAGAAGACACCAGCCATGGACAGAGGAGACAGTGGTACCCCCATAGCTATGCCATGGAGGCTGCATGGAAAATGCAGAGAACATTAAGTCAAATTTGAATGACACGAGAGGGATTCCACAGGAAAGATGGAGGTGCAGGTACAGCACTGGGAGAGATAAGGAAAGCAGAGGGAGCATTCTCAGCCGAGACATGAAACAAGAAAAGTGGAGGATGTATTTGGACCATGATGAGTCATCTTGTTTGGATGTAGCCTGCAAGTGCGTGGGGTTTGAGGGTGCAAAGAAGAACTGAGCTGGGAAGACCTTGAATATCTTTGAAGAAGTCTGTGCCGAATTTCCGAGGCAGCAATTTTCAAATATTTTTGTAGTGTGAATATTTCTTCATTGAAAAGGACACACTATTACAAATGATAACAGGTTTTTAGGTGCAAATAACTAAAATACTTATAATTGATTCTTATTTTTTAAGGCATACACCACAAGGTCACTCTTATTTATTTATTTATCTATTTATTTATTGTGGTGCTGTGGATTGAACCAGGGCCTGTTCATGTGAGGCAAGCACTTTACCAACTAAGCTATATCCCTAGTCCAAGGCCACTCTTAAATATTGTTAAGGTCTTTAAATTATTCTTTGCATTTCCTAAAACCACAGAACCCAAGCACTGTAAGGCAGCAGATGCTTCAGAAACATTTATAGCAGTGGTTCTCAACTGGGTGTGATTTTGCCTTCCAGAGGACTTGAGCAATGCCTAGACCCAATTTTGGTTGCCACAACTCTGTGTGTGTGTGCGTGCGTGCATGCATGTGTGTGTGTGTGTGTGTGTGTGTGTGTGTCCAGTGGGTAGAAGGGCCAGTAATGCAATTAGACATCCTTCAACATGCAGGACAGTCTCCTCTCCTTCAACAAAGAATTATACAGTACAAATTGTTGAAGGTTCGAAGGTTGAGAACCATGATTTCCAGGGTCGTATCTTGGGAGGGACACAGGCTTCAGAGTCATACCTGAATATACACTCCAGCTCCACCAATGACTATCTGTGAATGCTTAGGCAAATAGCCTAAGGTTCCTAGTCTTAATTTCCCCATTAAAAAAATGAATCATAGAACAGTAACCTCACGGAGTTACTTTGAGAATTATAGTAAAATAATGTATTCGGGGTGCCAAGTTTCATGCTGGGATGTCAGTTACTCTGCCAATTGGGATGATGAAGTTTTAACTGCATTTTAGGAGGAATATGAGCTCTCTCTTTATGGAAGAAAACATGAGATATTACTACCTTATACAATGTTATCTGTAGTCAACAGAAAATTACCAGGGTGGGATTATTCCTGTGGGAGACAAAGAAAGATGATAGCAGACCAAATTATATCTTTTTGAAGTGTCTCCACTTGCTGGTCCTAGGTAACAGCTGGGTTCTAAACAGTGTGTAACAGCTGGGTTTTAAAGACATAGTTGGTCATTCCAAAAAGTTTTTGAAAATGACATTTGTGCTCTGAAATCTGTTTAAAATGGAAACTCAAAATACTTTCCACAAGGCTACTAGGTGACAATGTAATCAACTACCTTGCTCTCCGACCTGCCAATGAGATCAGTGAAAAGCGTCTTTAATCTGACCACTTCAGGAAATGCAAAGCCCCAGCTTCCAAAGATGGCTCTTCAAAGAGAGCTGAGCTACAAAATTCTCCTTTATTGGGAGATAAAAGGATTATTTCTACTCGGGCTTTGCTGTGGAGCTGGAGTGAAAAGCAGTGAAATTCAGCTGTCACTGTGCATTAATAGCTTGGGCAGCCTGGAGGCAGTGGACCTACTAGATTTGAGACTGAAAGGAACACATTATTTAGACTGTTTCGTTCCAGGGTGAATCCCCAGTGGGGTCCCTGCCCCAAATATAGTCTCCAAATGGCCAGTTCCAACTCTGAACTTTCTCCAGGCTTCGGGCCCCTAACTGAGCTGCTGGGAGCCCATTCTTCATGTGGGCTGAACGCCTGAAGCTGGAGCCATGGGTCCCTTTGGATTTTAAAGCAGGCAAAAAATCATTCCTGCCAGGTGGGGAGGTCCATCTGTGGGCCTATAGTAAGTGCAAGTGATTTGTTTAGAAACAAGGAAGCCTTACTGGCAATGTTTTAAAATAAGTATGTTTCTTTCCTGTGTTGGAAAATTTGTGTCCTTCAGGTTGATTTAAAAAATTGAATACACTTTCTTAGTAATTTTTCCAGATTACTAAAAGTTTTAAAGTTTAAAATTTATTTTTAATTATTTGTGACTTTTTATTTCCAAATATAAACCTGAATGCTCCCAGAAATCATTAAATTTTTTTGTGTGTGTGTGCATTTGACCTCCTCTGCTTAGCTGTAGGGGACTGGGCATTTTCTTCCCAGGATTCTTTTGACTTTTTGGTTTCTCTGGTAAACTCAAGGGGGGTGGCGTGGTCTCCAAGTGTTCCAGGATCTTTCCCTGGCCACCACCTGTGCCTCTGTGGTGACCTTATCTGAATCATGCTTTCTACGGTCCCTGCTGTTGCCCTGGGCAGCCCCAGGCCACTCCACCCAGACCTCCCCTTTGTCCCCATCCCCTCTGGAGGGGCTGTGGCTGGGCACCATGTGCTTGGTAGCTGCAGTCACTTCTAAGCCGCTCCTGCAAGTTCCCTTTATTAGAGTTTGTGCCCCTGGGCAGTCGCTTTGCTCTCTGCTCACTGCTCTTGGCCTCAGCTCTCTGTCTGGGTTGTGAATTATTCAGCATTGCTGCTCTTTCCTGGGATACCTGCTGTCAAAGTGCTTCTGCAGGAAACAAGAACATGTCTTCACTCCTCTGTGTTCTGAGGCTTGGGGCTCCTGTAGTAGCCACCTAAGTTCCCAGGGCTTCACAGTCAGCTTTGTCCTCCACAGCTGCTGACAAGAGGCTGGGGTGATTAGGTTGGAGCAGTCTTGGGTGACCCAGAACTTATATCTCCTTTTGACCTTAAGGACCTTGGAGGACTTATTCCACCCCATGCTTTTTTTTTTCCTCACCAAGTGCCGCTTCTCTCCCCATTAGCTCGATATGCCTGCATATATTTGAACTTTCAGGTTGAATTCCTTTTGAGTTATTTTCCCAAAAAGAGGTTTTCAGCCCAGTGCCAACTGTAGGTCACAGTCAGATCTGAGAAGGTATCTCCTGACGTACCAGTTAGCCATGTCTGCACCTCAGTTCTTAGCTCAGGCAAAACCAGGAACCCAGATAGGCCTTTAATAATGCAGAGATGAGTGAGCTGTCCATCAAACCCTTTCCTTCTCCGGGGCATGCAGCTATACTATGTTCCCCAACTGCCTTTTTGGCAGGTTATAGTCATGAGACTAAGTTCTGCTTTAGGGGACTAGGGGAAGAATTGATGTCTCTCCTCCCCAGACCTGACTCCAATAAGCCACAAAAAAACCCTCCACTTTTCACCCCACCCCTGCCTTCTGCATGCAGGTGCTGAGGAATACCTTAAGTAGCCCTTTGTTAAATGTAGCAGAATTTTCACCTACTTGAATTTTTGACTGTATGGAACAATGCCCTTCCCTTTGGCCTTTACTGCCAATTGGAATTTAATTGAGCAAGAGATAAACCTAGGTTTTGTTAAGGGTACTGGTGTTTTGGAATTGACACAGTTGCTTGCTTGTGTTTTCCTAACTAAAACAGAAACTGGTATCTTA